TAATCTTTCTGTCCTGAAAATGATCATCCCCACTATTAACTGACAGTACAGTTCCTGGGAGCTTTTCAGTGCACCTGAAACTCCATTTGTTAGCCTTCTATTTTAAAAAAATATCCAAGCTCTACCATACTTCAGGACCAAATCAAACTAGCAAACTAGCATTTTGCAGTACAATTAGCTGCTTATAGCCACACATGCTTCGACCTTACTGTCAGCACACAGGATAATGCAATAGCAAATCAATGTATCGATTTCCTAAAGCGCAGCTGCACACTGTGTCTGTGTATTGATGAGGGGAAGCACAGCGCACAGCGGAGGGAAACCCCACAACTTTCCATCCCTCACTGACACTGACATGTCCACAGCCCACACTGCCCCTAACTACCCACACTGCCCCTAACTACCCACACTGCCCCTAACTACCCCTAACTGTTCAATATGGGACATAGGCGCGCGAGGGGCTGCTGACGTCCTGTTTGTTGCGCCACATTAATCAAAGACAAGTGAACACAGCTGCGCGTCTCGAGACCCCCATTCTAATTAACCGGAGTGACGTAACTGTGAGCAAAGAATAGGCTGTAGTGGCAATATGGTAGCCTACCTGATAACACAGCCAACACCAACACATCTAATACGGCTATCAATTAAACACTTTAGAACCAAATGAGCAAAGCTAGCCCCCTAATAACACAGCGTAAATATTTGTTTCTTACCGTAAAAGGCATTTCGCGTTATCTGGCCCCCCATTGCTTTATTCCTGTAGATTCCGTTTATCGCCTGTGTGGATTATTCTGACGCTCTCGCTGCACAGCCCGGCGCTCGTGACATGATTGCACGTTCGCATCCGAAAGGCAGCCTATCGCTTCTTTCCTCCGAATAGATGCACACACTGGACCCACACCTCCTTCTTGTGAGCGCAGGGATCCGTGAAGGCAACACCCCCCCATTCACTGAGCAGCACTCTCCGCCTCGGGTCCCACTCACTCACACTGGCATTTACATAAAAGGTGGAGACTGTCTGGGCGGTGTTAACGCTGTCACCGCCGAGCCGAGCCGTGGAGCATGAGGTGGGGGAGTGACCAGGAAGAATAAAGCAAATACTAGCCTTTGACTTCTGTTCGTTTGTATCCCTTTGCAGGTATAGGCCGATACATATGGAAGCCCATTTCAATGTGAAGTAAAAAAAAAAAGAAAAAAAAGAAAAAGATTCTGTAAGTCATTATGATGAGAAACTTTCTCAAAATCATAACTTAGTATCTCAAAATAATAAGAAACGTTTTCTGAATTAGTATCTCAATATTTCATCATTATTTTTGAGATGCTGAGTCAATATTTTGGGAACGTTTCTCATTATAATGACTCCTTTTTTCTGTCATATTGGTGCAAATGGGCTTCCATAGAGATACAATAAATTAAATGAATAAATAAAAAAGAATATATTACACATAGTTCTGCATAGACTTAGTTGTTTAAAAATTAACAGAGATAAAAGGCTAAGTATGGATCCAGAACCTCACAGAGTGAGTGGTCACATTCTTTACTCTCAGCACTCACTCTTTCACCTTACATACTTCCTTATGTGCTGCAGGCCCCTGGCAGACAGACTGGGTGACCCCTCAAGAGTCAGGCCTCTGATTTAAGCTGTCATCACGTATCCATGGTGACCTCACAGCCCTCAATCTCAGACACCACTGTGTTTACTTTGGGCCTGAAGCTGCAGGCTCCTAGATAATGGCCCTGTAAAAGACAGGTCGAGGTAACGTTAATATAGATATATGAATTAATGGAACATGAACACATGTATGCTGGGTGAAAGCCAGGAATATATTGTTACAAGGGTGGAAGAAGTATTGAGCATTAAAAATCTGTTCATATATGCCCACAGCTAGCCTAGCCCTAGCCATTGGTAACAAGATACTGCCAGGCAGCCAGCAGAGATTCCAGTAATCTTGTTATGGTGTGTTGAGACCAAACTCAAAGAAAATGTTCTCCTTATGTTACTCTCTCAAATACAACTGTTGGAGTGTTTTTTGGAGTATTTTGCAACCTGCCAATACTCGCCGTTAAAAGCCAATGGGAGTACTGGTTTATAGTAAATAACAACTGATAGCTGGAATATTAGGGTATTAGGGGTCAGTCTTCTTTGTGGCCAATGGATTTTTGTTTTGAAATAAGAAACACAAAATTGGGAAACAAGACGACCACCTGTGTTCCATTATTTTGTTTTGAAAATAAAAAATAGAAAATAAAAAAACGACCCATAGTTATAAATGGTAGGGGGGAAACAGCTCATTTCCCAATTTTGGTTTTCTCATTTCTAAACAAGAATCTATTGGCTATAAAGTACACTGACCTAATAGATATATATTTTTAAATATGTACGTTTGTAAAAATTATTTAAAAATACATAATGAAGACAGAAGCTCCCTAAACTGGGAAAAAAACGTCTCAAAATTCCAAATCGCTCATTTTACATAGGCTTCTTTCAATTATTGTGTTCATTATTTGGGTTCATTG